GTACCACGATCTTCCTGGTCATCAAGCTCTTCTTACACGAGCTTTGGTGGGGTGACTAAGCGGTCCCAACCACCTTGGAACCTTAAGGCCCGTCCGTGTCAGTTTGTCGCATGAGCAATGAATATTCTTCTCAAACCGTAACTACCACCAAGCCAAAAGGCAGCTTCTGAAGCATGTCGAGCAATTTCATTAGACCAGGCAGTCACCTAAGCTTCTTCCTCGGCGCCAGCACCGCCAGCACCGCAGTCGTCCTCGCCTTACCCGTTATTTACTTTTTCGGAAGAAACCAATCTCCTCCAACCTCATCCGATACGTGTCTCTGTTCTACGGAGCTGAATGACGATGCACGAAAAGGGGATTGCGAGGTTATGGAGATGCTCTTTCAGGGTTCATCACACTGAATGAGTCTTCAGCGGCTGATCTACATGCCAACTTAAAGTGGAATCGAGCAGTCGATCTCAGCAAATTCTTTATAAGATGGGGTCGAAAGTACCTATCAGACCGTCGTAGGCTAGAAGAGGAACGTAGTAGGAAGAGCCAAACCTGTACGTGAGAACCTAATTATTTTCATATGTAGGAAAGATTAGTGCTAATTATAATGACTGTATAGGTCGAGGCAGCAACACTCCAAATACACGTCAAATTCAGGATGCTTTCGAAGTCCTAACTGAAATTCCAGTCGTCCTTCGGCCCCTTGCACCTGAAGTCCGTACACTTTTGCAGAAATATGGTTGTGAGCGGGATTGCTTATCCAGCAGCAGCAATGATGACAAAGTCTCGGTTCGTTTCGCTCTATCGCGCGCTTTGCGAAATGGCAAGGTGCTTTGGGGCCATTTTTCACGGGCAATCATACAACTTGATGAACGGACCGTTGTCAAGCTTGGGCATAATTTACTTCTAACCGACGCCGATATTACAGCCTATATTCAGAGTCTCACGAACGATATTCCAGCCCCTCGGCCCCTCGGAGCAATTTCTATCGGCAAAACGACCTACATATTCATAACTTTTATTAAAGGCTCATCCTTAGATAAACTATGGTCATCCCTATCTACGGAAGAAAAAATCTTTATCCAAGATCAGTTAGATATTATCCTAGAGAAACTTAGGATGCTTCCTCTACCTTCTCATTTTCTTGGTAGTGGAAATCCACCTTACTGCATCGACTGTAGAATATAGAAGCGGGCAAGCCCACAACAGATTGAGAACGAAGCTCAGTTTAACAAGTTCCTCATATCAGGAAACCACCCACCCACGATAGGGCCCTATATTAAGTTTATACATTCTATGCTACGCAGTGATCACCGAATCGTCATAACACACGGGGACTTGCATCCACGAAATATATAATGGTTAGCAAGGAGCGAGATCAGTCCATTCGAGTGACCGGACTTATTAACTAGAAGCTAGGAGGAGCTTATCCAGAGTATTGGGAGTTTACAAAGTCTCTTAATACAATACTACCTATACGCACAGGTGATTGGGTCTTCTTTCTTCCACATAAGGGCATGGGGAAATACTTTACTGAGTTTGCTATTAATCAATTCGTTGAGAAACTTGTGTCATAGGTTAACCATTTTATAATTAACTTTGCGGGAGCTTACAGCGCCAAATATACTATTGGAGCCGGCGTTTGGCCAGCATATCGGATATAGAATGCGCCGCCGCCGCCACCTCCTTCATCATTTCGCTTAGGCACCTGTTGGCCGATCGATGAGCACCATTCCATAGATAAATAGCCGTAGGATAGCCTGCTGTCTCGCAGCCCATCATCATCATTCACTTCTACGCCTATTGATCTGCCTTTCCAGTGTTTAGCTAGACGTCGAGGCATTCGTTTGCTGCTCCGTTGTGCTCAGGAGCTCAGGTCACGTGATGGTCCCTCGAGCTTCCGAGATATACGGCTGCAAGCTGACTAAGCTACATATCTTGGTAAGTGCTTAGATAATAGATCACGTGATCTAATATGTGCCCGGCTTGGTATCAATATTAGTTTTTTTTAAATATTTTTCATAATTACTATATATGAATAAATGGTTATAGTATTATCTATTATTTTATAGATTATTATTATTTATTATTTCTATATCTATTTATCTACTCTTCTAGTACTCCGTACCTAGTTTAATATTAAAGCATTCATTTACTACTCTGTTGGAGCTTAGGTCACATGACCTTCCCTCGACGGGAGCTTCCGAGATTAAATGAGCTGTTGATCCCTGATGACCGAAGAAAATCCACTCGAAAACACCTTTATAACCACATCATCGACTCCTATCATCTGCATTTAAGCATGCCGGCCGTCACGTCCTCCATCCACTTACCTATAGCGACCTACCCAATCACATGGGGTGACAATTCGATGCCCGTTCTAGGGCTTGGAAGGTTTGGCTGTGTTGTCAAACTTGGGGAGGACCGCGTCCTCAAAAGACCAAAGACTTTCCCAGAAATTCATAATCCTGATATATCGTACATCAATGAAGCCAACATAATATGCCTCGCTAATGAGGCCAACGTCTACAAACGCCTGGGAAGACACGATGGAATTATTCAGTGCTTCCAGACTTCTTCATACTCGATCGAGCTTGCCTTTGCCAATCAAGGCGACCTGTTCACATACATGCAAAACAACCCTCGACCAACAGAAGCAGTTATAGTTGACTGGATTCGGTCGCTAGCAGAGACTTTTGCATATATTCATTCTCGCAGAGTCGTTGTTGAGGACATTGGTCTGAAAAACATTCTCGTCCACAACAATTGCCTTAAGCTTGTGGATTTTGGTAACTCGCTTCTGTTACCGATGGATACGGATATGGAGTGCTTCTGCATTCAAGACATAACTCCTAGATTGGAGGTTCTCCACCTCGGCTGCGTGTTTTACTCCCTAGCGACGTGGATTGAATTCAAATACGACTACATCGACCCCAACCACATGCTAAAGCCTGATCAGTGTCCGAAAACAGCTGGCATTATTGGGGAATCTATCATCCTCAAATGCTGGACAGGAGGTTATGCTAGCATGGAGTCTTTAAAAAAGGATGTCAAAGCTCTATTGGGTTGATAAAAGAACCATGTTGATATTAGCCGTGTGTGTTTATTATAATTTCATCACTTTGATTTTGAACCAGGTTTGCTCACTATTTCTAGACACAGATCTAAAAATACGATACACTTATCACGTGCATAAGGTGGACTATGCACCCACAGTTGCTCCCTGACTTTGTATCGTCAGGCCTGAGGCTGGTCCACTCGCACCAGTGTCATTGTCGCGTCTCGGGTCAGATTTTTTGTCATCACGGCAGTTGCGGCATTTGACGACTCGATTACGGGAAGACGGTTTATACACATTTTCTGGGTCAAGGCACAGTTCTGGAGGATTTCGTGCTTTTGCAATAGGACAGGGCCACTGTCTGGGAACTGCCGGTTCCATCGTCGTGTGTCCGCAGGCCCAGGTATATGGTGCAGGATGCTCAATCCTACAAGTGCATCTAGCATTTGCAGATGCCTGGTTTCAAGGCTGTTAGGTATGACCTTAATCCTGTATAATGATTCGACATACCATTGTTTTTCTCGAAATGAAAAAGCCTAGCTTGTGGATATTATACTAACGGGCAGAAGACAAAGGAATTTCATTCGCTGCATATTGAAGGTAAAAGTGTCAGTAGGGTGATACGCGATTTAGTCCTCTTCATTCGCTAACCTCTATTAACTGCGCTTTGATAGTGTAGAACTGCGTTGCTCTAGAAAATTCATGGAGGTTCAGGGTCCTATATATATTCAAGACCAGTCTTCAGCCATTAGATTTCTTGCAATGCCCATTTCAATGTTGGGGTCACTCTTCTGTGGTATGCATGGAAATTTTATCATCATGCACCCTTCCGCACCTCATCCATGTCGTTGGAGCCAACTTTTCACGTATTACAAGTCAAATGCAAACCGGTGATAGACAAGATGTGAATCAGATCCAATGCATGGATGGCAGCCTTGGAGACTAGGAGGGAGCTCTGCGTCGATTGGCGTATATATTGGAGCCTTCTGCTGAGGTACGTGATATCGAAGCGAAGAATCTTACACTGTTGGCTCCCATACCATGCATGAAGACGAAGGCAGAAAGAAAGCACATTGCTTCCTTTGCCAAGTACAAAATTGATAGGATCCTTGTTGCAGCAGAGTTTCGAGGCTTGCCAAGAATGAAATTATCGATTACTTCGATAACTAGCGGGAGCCAGGACGACAATTGGTTTTAGGATCAACTTGAAGACACGCCATTTACTTCTTTATTAGCTATTTTATAGGTATTTGCAGATGGCGGGTGGTGAGAGTACGAATTTTTGGTTGTGTATTCGTTAATGATGTTGTTCGTTGATTGGTGGAATACGTTAGCTGAAATCAACCCCCGCCGATTACGAGAACTTTGGGCATCATAGTTATTAATTAACTAATTTAGATCATCCCACTTTCCCTCTACCCCGCCGCTGTATACTCCCAGTCTTATAAGTATCGCCTCCATGGTCATTATTTGAGGATTCTACTTTCACCGCAGGTAATGTTCCCCCAGTCCTCTTCCAAGCTTCTGAGATGATTTACCATCTTATTTTACCATACAGCGTGCTATCTTTCCTCAGCCACGCCGAGTCATGCCGACCGATATCAACCCCGATGCCTTACCGGAACTTAAGAGTCTAGCAACATGGCTTTCCCGGAGTGCCCAAATGAGGGAGGAGAAAGGGAAAAAGAACCTTTTAGAATGTGTGGACGAGAATCGTGAAGCGAAAGCATGGCCGTTATTAGAGAAGCTAGGCTATGCTACGATACGGGTGAAAGACCAATTCGCTTTGAAAAATTTAATACGGAAGTGTTGCTAATTTGATCAGGGCCATTTCGCCTTGCTGTTGCGAATAAATGGAAAGGCTTCGATTGAGAAACCCGACAAAGACGATCGGACATTGTTATTCTTCCCTCTGTCTGGGGACGTGCAGGTTGATGGCGAAGTCCTTAAACCAGGGACCTACATTCAGCTCACGAAGACTTTAGACCTTGACGCTCAATTAGATTGTCTGATTGTCGTTCTACCCTAGTTTGCATCGCAGGGAGGTTGGGATTTCTTTACCTTTCTGTTCGAATTTCTTCATTGTATTAGCTTTTATGCCTTCACCCCTACGATAAACATAGCAAAATGTGTTTTATGTAACACTGGGAATTTAGCAGAACTTGTATACTAGCGTATCTGACCACAAGCTGGTATAATATTCAAGTGGTATAATATTCAAGGTCAGTGAAACCTTACGACCTAGGCTACAAGGCTTCATTTATCGCAGAGCTGATTGCGGCCAGTCAAATTGAGACCAATTTATAACGTGGAGTTGTCGAGCAGGGAATTGGAGAATGGACTGAACAGCGCATCGCTTGTCAACGGGTTAAAGCGTGTCCTCTCTTGTTCGATCTCCTCTGCTCTATTGTCGAACTGAATCCCGTTGGCTTGGGGACCGGGGAAGAGGCTGAACAGCGCATCGCTTGCCAGCGGGTTAAAGCGTGTCCTTCCTTGATCTGCTGCAATGTTGTCGACCTGGGTGTCGTCGAGCTGGGAGCCACAGTTATGAAGTGTTCCCGCCATTTGATTGTGTGTGTCCGAGACATTCTGGGGAGCCCTTACATGCCTTGGAGTGGCAATTGGCGACACTGGGTCCATCCCACTGAATTTGTGTGGTAAAATTCAGATTGTGACCGATCGATTTCGCTGGGATAGCTTTCTGTGATATCTGATTTCCAGGGAGTCGTTAGAGTAAGAAGCCAAGGTTGCGGAATTACAATGGCTTACCCGGAGGTCTTATAACCTCACTATGGAGAGCTGGAGATCTAGGCGGTGAATCCACTAAGCTTGAAATGCTTGGATAGTTTGCATGCGCAGGAATCATTCCGGACACATCTCCCATAGCATTTCCGAAGTCCTCCCTCGGAAGGTCAGTCTCCGTTACGATGTTCGACACATCAGTACCAATGACAGCCTGGGGCCCCACATTCTGATACTCTGTTTCAGCAGTTACCAGGGGCCCTATTATTGTCGAATGAAGAGAGGCTTGCACGTGGTTTTCATTGCCACCTGGTTTCATTCTGTCAACTAGCTGCGCAGACTTCCAATCAACGATTAACTTACTGTGCTTACTCTGGTTCCTTTTCCTTTTCCCCTTTCTCTCACGCCTTCTGCCGGAAGCGGCCAAAGGTCCCCCAAGGAACCTATTTGAAGATCCAAATCGGAAAGTTCTATCAACAATGTAGGTTCCTGTGCTATTATTCACCTGTTCTGAGCGAGGCGTTCGAAATCGTTGTACACCCACCGTTTCGGAGACTAATGGCGAATCTGATGAGGAGCCATCCTCAGGCACTCTATCATAATCAGCTGCTGTGGACATATGAATGCCATTGGCGCCTTGGTGGACGCTTCCGGGGTGACCTTCCCCGTCTGACGGGTTGGCGTTGTGGGTTGATGGCAAGTTGCCTGTTTCAACTGTATTAGGAAATGCTGCCTTCGTTCCTTCTGCCTTCGTCTTTATAAGTGAACTAACTAACCGGCCTCGCCGTTCAAATCCCTTGCCTTGTCTACCTCTTGTAAGATTGGGTGGTCTAGCTGTCGGGCGGAAGAAATATCTATTCCTTCTTTAAAGTCCACATTAGCAAAGGAAACGTCTAACAGAGGAGTTAACGTACCATCGTAGCACTTCTGGAAATCATTAAACCATTTTGATATGTGCTCCAGGACATCCAGTATGTGGACTCTTATCGTGACGGGTCCACCTGAGCCCTCAACCGATTCACGAGGTGGCAAATCGACCTTTGCTGAGTCCAACAAGAGATGCCCGATGAAAGATGGTATCTGCATGAGTCGAAGGTATTTGAACGGGGTGATGGTCAAGGCCGTCAGAGCAGATATCCCCGTTCCAGCCCTCGGGTCCTCTTTCTGGCCCATTGCGCTTCGAAGGGCTTCTTCGACACGTAATTGTTTTTGACCAGCTTGTATGCATTGTTGCGCGAACTTCGGGTTCGTCACATAAAGGTGATTTCTTACAAATGTAGGAATCAATCCCTGTCGTCGACATGTCCGGTTCGCTAACAATTGACTCTCAAACTTCAAAAATTGAAGGGCTAAGGATCGTTGTGCGACACCTCGGAAAAGCCTATCCTCGTTTGTCGGATTTGGATTGCCTTCAACCCGCTGAATGTCGTTAAATCGTATGTCCGATGGTCTCTGTTCCCGACGAGCTTTGATGACTTCACCCGGTGTCTTCCGGACAAATTTCCATATCCAAGTAATCTCCGTCATCAATGAAGCAAAGAGTATGGAACTCTGGGCTTCGTCGGCGCCACTAGTTGAACCCTTATGCTGAGATTTTTGAGGATCTATAGCAATCTGAGCTCGATTGTCCGTGGGAGAGACACTGTGGTTTCCTCTTGAGGGTCCAAATATCGAAACCTCTGAACTTGGGATATCCTCATTGTTGACCAAATTCCTCCGGCAGGAATGGCATTTCAAGCTTCTTGTCGGTACAAATATGTCTGGGCCAACCACTCTTTGCAGTCGACGTTCCACTTCCCTAACCATCAAGATAGCTTCTTTGCCATGGGCGTAAAGAAGATCATCTGGTGCGTTTCGCAAGGCATCCAAAGCATGCATTATGTCCATTTTGGCAGCATAGAGACGCTAAATGTCATATGTTTAGCAAAAGAGAAAGGAGACAGGAGAGGGGATGGACTATTTGTCTCATCATGTGGGATGTAAGTTTGAGGGGAACGATCGGGCGGGCCGGCCCCCGTCTTTGGACCAGCAGATCGCGCTGCTCCAAGGTTGATGTGTTTCAGCCTCAAATTAAGAGGCTGTGCTTCTATTATTGGCTGCTGAACCTAACGGGTAACTGGTGCCGATGGATCCAAAAGGTCGGGATTCATTCCAATTGGATGGATTTTATGATCACGTAATGTCACTTTATGGACAGAAAAGGGATAGTGGCGTATTTGAGTTCCATTCGTTCTCTGTTGGGAGGTCGAGTCATGTGATACTGATGACGCCCCTGTGATAACCTTGACTTCGATAGACTGTTCATTTCAAATCTCTTCCTCCCGCTGCTCCACCTCACCTTCAACATGTTGTCGTACTTTTGGCTTTTAGTGTCCAAAATACAGAAGGTGTTTTCTGACTTCATACACCGCGCATTAAGCTTCTTTTCTTACTCGACCCTCCATTTCACCACGCGAGATTTGTCCACCCATAAGAAGGCTGGCGATCTAGAGTCTAATGCGCCTTCCGATACCCCTTCAGACACTTCCAAATGCGAAACTTACACTATCCGACTCGTGCCTCAAAAGGATTTGGACTTAGTCGGTGTTGGAGCTTCCGGCCAAGTCTACAATATCAATGATCAAGTTGTTCTCAAAACTTGTCGAATTTTCGAACCGCCTGGCGATAACGCCTCTCAAAGTGCCCACTGGCATTACGCTTCAGACACCATATTCCACTCCAATTTGCTCAAAGATGAGCGGACGGTTCTGCAGCTCCTTCAAAGCATACCGCATCGTCACATAATAGCAGCTGTAGATGTCGAGCAACCCGAGGGCCTTTATCTCCGCAAGTATCGTCATCCAACTGTGGATATGATCTCTGACCAGGCCCACCGGACCAGGCTCTACAGTGACATTACTGGTGCTTTGCACCATCTCCACAGCCTCGGCATTGTACATGCAGATGTACGGATCGACAATATCCTTCTCGATGACCAGGGCAGGGCCATCCTTTGTGATTTTAGCGCCGCAAGTCCTTGTGGACATCCAAACCCGGTTTTCCCGGATCTCCCGCTTCCGCTTAATGGCCCCTCGACGACTTTGTCCGACGCATCAGACATGTTCGCTATGGCTTCACTTATTTTTCAAATGGAACACGGAGCCGCTCCTGAGCTGTCTTTTGCAGATGGGGCACTGTGTCTGCCTGAAATAACATCGGGTAACCGAGGTCTCGATGAAGTCATTCAGAAAGCTTGGCTCGGGCATTATAGCTGCACATCGGAGATGTTA